GGGGTCACTGGGATGAACTGGGGGGGTCACTGGGATGAACTGGGGGTCACTGGGAAGGGGCTGGGAGCGACTGGGACGAACCGGGGAGGGGTCGCTGGGGTCACGTGACGGGGCCCGGGGAGGGGTCAAGGTCACCCGGGGGTCCCGGGGCTGTCACGTGACCTTTCGGGGCTGTCACGCGGCCCTCCCGGGGTCGCCCCTCCCCCACTCACGTGCGCGCAGCAGCCGCGCGACCCCCGCCGCCATCGGCTCCGCTCTCCGCCAGGGGGCGCCCGCACTTCCGGTCCCGCAGCCAATGGCAGCGCAGGGCCCGCCACGCCCCCCCACAGGGCAGCGGAAGTGACGCGTTAACCACGCCCTACTATACCGGAAGTGACGAATCCGCCTGAAGAGGCGGAAGTGACGCAGAAACAAGCGGTGACCCTTGACCCCCCCCAAACTCCTCCCGAAAGTTCCAGAACTCCCCCCCCGGGTCCTCCCAGCCCCTCCCCCAACCCCCCTAAAAACCCCGAACCCCCCCAAAACGAACCTCCCAACCCCCCCCAAAAGCTCAGCCTTTGTTTTCCAAACAGTTTTATTTGGGGAGGGGTCTCGGGGGGGGGAGGGGAGGGTCCGACCCCTCCTTAAAAATGGGGGGAGGGGCGAAACAGAGGGGGGAGGGGAGGGGTCTTTGCTGCCCCTCAGGCTTAAAAAAAGGGGGGGGATCGGGGTGGGGGAGGGGTCCTGGGGGGGTCCTGGATGATCCGGGGGGTCCCGGGGGCTTTCGGGGGGATCCCAGGAGGTCCTGGGGGGGTCCTGGGATGATCCAGGGGGAACTGGGGGGTGCTGGGGGGGTCCCAGGGGGGTCCCGGGGGGATCTGGAGAGGTCCCTGGGGGTTCCAGGGTGACCCAGGGGGGTCCCGGGGTGACCCAGGGGGTCCCAGGGGGTCCCAGGCGGGTCCTGAGGGGGTCCTGGGGGGTTTTGGGGGGATCCCGGGATGATCCAGGAGGTCCTGGGGGGGTCCCAGGATGATCCAGGGGGGTCCTGGAGGGGTTTGGGGGGGTCCCAGGAGGTCCCGGGATGATCCAGGGGGTCCTGGGGGGGTCCCGGGATGATCCAGGGGGTCCCAGGATGATCCAGGGGGGTCCTGGAGGGGTTTGGGGGGGTCCCAGGAGGTCCCGGGATGATCCAGGGGGTCCCGGGGGGGTCCCAGGATGATCCAGGGGGTTTCAGGGGGGTCCCAGGGGGTCCCAGGAGGTCCCGGGATGATCCAGGGGGTCCCGGGGGCGGTTAGGACGCGTGCTGCGCCGTGGAGAAGCAGAGCTTGAGCGTGTAGGGGTAGGGCCCGTCTGGGGGGGACAGAGCGGGGTCAGGGGGGGCTCGGGGGGGGG